TCCTTTCCAACTTGTGTTAGTGTGATAAGGCAAACATATTCAGATTTTTCATGCTATGAAAGTAAAAAAGTACCACTTTTCCTTCCCGAGTGTTGTCCAGGATCGATTTGCCCAAGTGTTACTTGAAGATTGGGGCGATTAGATTAATGGAGCAGACGTCTCCACCACAGGATAGTCACGGAGGGCTTACTGACCTGCTTCTTACCTCCTCCTTCAAAGGGGCGACGGTTTCCGTCTTGTGTGTCGTGGGGAAAAGGACCCATAAAGAGAGTAACAGCCGTGCTGGCCAACCACCTGCTCCGAGGGCTCGCTCTGGACCGGCGCCATACACAGCGCCCCGCGTGTTTGAGGTTGCCCAACGCTGCCGGCAACCCGCGGAGGTCCGTGTGTAGCTCGCCGTACCTCCTCCCTGCGCACGTCCCACAGCTGGTGGGTGACGCGCGGCCCCTCCCCCTGCACCGTTCTCTCCTCGCCTGGCATCTGTGGCCATTGTTCCCAGGGACTTCGGCCACCACTTCTTGGCGTCACAGGATGTGGTGCCTCTGCTCTCGCCGCAAAGGCCCCACCGCCACAAGGTTTCTGTGCTTTTCTATTTTTGTAAGTCAACACAGATGTGCCTTTGGGAGTTGTTTTTCGGGGAATTTGTACCTCCTTTCTTTTCCTGGGCGGTTCTCATAAACTGTTGTCATTCCTTTTCCAGTCACATCTAGTGCAGCTTGATGACTGGATTTTTTTTTTTTTTTTAAGATTTTATTTATTTGCGAGAGAGAGAATGAGAGACAGAGAGCATGAGAGGGAGGAGGGTCAGAGGGAGAAGCAGACCCCCCGCTGAGCAGGGAGCCCGATGCGGGACTCGATCCCGGGACTCCAGGATCATGACCTGAGCCGAAGGCAGTCGCTTAACCAACTGAGCCACCCAGGCGCCCTCGGCTCATTTTTAACTAGGTATTTTTTTTTTGAAGATTTTATTTATTTATTTATTTATTTATTTATTTATTTATTTATTTTAAAGATTTTATTTATTTATTTGAGAGAGAATGAGAGAGAGCACATGAGAGGGGGGAGGGTCGGAGGGAGAAGCAGACCCCCTGCTGAGCAGGGAGCCCGACGTGGGACTCGATCCCGGGACTCCAGGATCATGACCTGAGCCGAAGGCAGTCGCTTAACCAACTGAGCCACCCAGGTGCCCGATGACTGGATTTTTGAAGGAGCAGCTAACTGTGCGCCGGCGCAGCACATCATACGGGTAGGGAATGTGTGTGTGTGTGTGTGTGTGTGTGTTCTCCAAATGAAGCTACCACAGAGGCTGCTATCGTATAAAAGCATGGGCTTTGGAAACAAGCAGACCTGGGTTAGAATCCCAACGTGATCACTAGCTCCTCTGGGCCCTTCGAAAGATTACTTAATTTCTGTAAGCTTCAGTCTCCTTTTTGGTAAAATTGGAATAATGATAATACCTACCTCAAATTAGATGTGGTAAAAATTAAATATAATTTTGCATTATGTAGTTATCAGCACTCGAGAAATACTAGCTATTGTTACTGCTGTTTTTTCAAACTTTCACTACGCAAACATCGTTGTTGTCATTCATTTAATAGTATTCTGTAATATGATCTAGCCATTCCATACTTAAGTGGATTCCCCTGGGAAACTTGCACTTATTTGTACAAAGAGACCTTTACGGGAATGTCTTTGAAGCATTATCGATACCAGTTGTTAGGGGATGACTTGTGTCCCCCCAAATTCATATATTGAAGTCCTAACTCCCAGCACCTCAGAATGTGATTGTATTTGGACATAGGGTCTTTAAAGAGGTAATTAAGTTAAAATGAGGTCATTAGTGTGATCCCTGATCCTCTATGACTAGTGTCCTTATAAGAAAAGGAGATTAGGAACCAGATGCAGGGAAGACACAGGAGAAGATGACCATCTATAAGCCCAGGAGAAGCCTCAGAAGAAACTAACCCTGCCAACGCCTTCATCTTGGACTTCTAGCCTCTACAATTGAGAAACAGTAAATTTCTATTGTTTAAGCCACCTAGTCTGTAGTACTTTGTTTGGCAGCCTTAACAAACTCATACAGTTATCATTTTTATTAGTAATCTGGTGTGCATTAATTGTATTAATCATGATCCTTGGTCCATGACACATTGTCATCATTCGACCGTGAATGTTAGGCTTATTTTTAGTTATTTATTTATTTTTTTAAATAATGAAATAAACATCTGTTGAACCCATCTCCCAAAACAAAGACTAGAAATAACTCACCTCTAATCACACATTTCACCCACTTTACTCTTGTCTCCTAAATGTCCATCAATTTGAAAGTAAGTAAATAAATTACAATATGCTCATATACTGGAATACTATACATCAGTGAAAGTGAATGAATTAAAGCTATAATTATTAATATGCATAAATCTCAAACACATATTTACCCCAGGGAAAGAGGATAGGTAGTGATAGGATTGGGGTGGAAACAGAAAGGGTTTCAATTGTATTTGTAATGCTTTACTTCTTAAGCAGAATGCCAGAATGCAAATAAATACTATATTATCTATGTTTTTATATACCTATTTCATAAAAACAAGTTTTGTAAAATAATTTTAAATTATCATCTTTAGTGTCATCCTCAGTTATTAAAGATAGGGAAGCAAGAGGTGCAATGGCCTGGGAGAGATCCTATTGTTCACTGCCATGCCCACCACCATGTCCCCCTTCTGAACAATTAGGAGGACTCTATAGTTCTGTGATGCCCTGACCTTGAATCTCACCAAAACCTTCCTCATATATCCACAGCCAGGCTGTTCTAGCAGTCATATTTCAAACCCTTCTAATTGGTTAGTAGTTTACCATTTGCCATGGAGGGTGACTATAGGTAACTATATGAACCTCAGGGTTCTATGTAACCACCATGACAGACGTATGGCAAAGTAAATAAGGTGGAAACTCTCATTGCCGTAAGAGTTTTAACTCCTTGTAAACCAAGTCAACAAAAAATAAATTCTGCCTGTTGAAAGCTTTAATGATATACTAAAAATGCTAATTTCAGCATTTCAGAATCAAGCTAAAAAAGAACCAACTGAGCTTTTATTCTTTCAAAAAAACCCAAAACCTGCATTGTATAGCAGTAAGAGCTCAGACATACCTGAGGTTGACTCCAGTCTGATGTAGACACACTGCTTGACTTTGACAAATTACCTAACCTGTGTAACTCTTAATGTCCTTTTCTTAGTATAGGAACACTGATCACTCCTCGGCAGGGGTTTTGTCGAGTTGTACAAGGTAATACATGAAAAGCACTTCTCACAGTGCTGCCACATGGCATATTTCCAGCATATAAAAATCCATCCCTTCTGCCCTCTGACAGTTAAATTATCTAAGATAAACAAGAAACTTTTTAAAAACCCATTGTTGTTACTACAACTATTTCTGGGATCCTCTCAAAGTCTTCAATGTCCCAGCAAAGGCAGAAAATAAATGTGAAGGCATAAGAAGGGAAAGAAGTTCATGATAAATACATGATTTTCTTTTTGCTGCAGGGTCCTAATTTTTCTTAAGTTTCAGGCTACCAGTGAATTTACAGGGTTGAAGCAGATTCAAGGAAGAAAGGCACATTTAAAAAATAGTATAATGCTGGGGCGCCTGGGTGGCTCAGTCGTTAAGTGTCTGCCTTCGGCTCAGGTCATGATCCCAGGGTCCTGGGATCGAACCCCGCATTGGGCTCCCTGCTCGGCGGGAAGCCTGCTTCTCCCTCTCCCACTTCTCTGCTTGTGTTCCCTCTCTCGCTGTCTCTCTCTCTGTCAAATAAATAAATAAAATCTTTAAAAAAAATGGTATAATGCTAAATAATGAGAAAAAAGATTACAATAAAGATATTTAATCTGATAAAAGAGATGGCTAAGGTGGTTTTATTAGTATCTTTACAGTTTCTTTTAAGGAGAATGCTGAAAAATGTTTACAATTTTGCAAACCAGAACAACAAGACATAGATTTATATTAAATCAGGGAGATTTCAGTTAAAAATTTTTCAGATTTCTAGAGTTAAAAAACACTAGGAATAGTTTGGAATATCCATCCCTGGAGATCGTCAAATGGATTATTGTTTCGCCTGGATATTTTGGAGTACTCCTTGCTAAACAAACAATCCTTTTTTAAATTCTATGATTAAAAAAAGATTGATCGATATGCATTGCACATTTTATGATTATCTGTGTATGACATGATATTCTAAGATTTTATTTATTTATCTGAGAGAAAGAGAGTGCACAAGGAGCGGGGAAGGTCAGAGGGAGAGGGACAAGCAGACTCTGCTCTGAGCAGGGACCCCAATGCAGGACTCCATCCCAGGACCCTGGGATCATGAGCTGAGCCGAAGGTAGACGCTTAACTAACTGAGCCACCCAGGCGCCCGTGTATATGACATAATATTCTAAATTGCTACTTTGATTTTTTTATCAACATTCTAATCCTAAATATGTAATTTTTAGATTGTTCTTTTTTTACTCAATACTTGATACAAAGCATTTTCCCATGTTATTTAATATTCTCTAAAAATACAATATTCCTTCATTATTTGTCTGTTTCAGATTTTTCTTTACTATAAATGATTTTGTGATGAACGTAAACAATTTTGAAACCCTTTTTGTCTATTGCCTTCCAGAAAATAGGTACCAAGTTACATTTACCAAGTGCAACTATTTCACCTCACCCTCAGGTGCTCTGAGATTAGCACTTAAAATCTCTTTGCCCTTATGTTTAGCAGGGAAATCATGTCCCATTGTTAATTTAATATGCATAGCTTTCATTACCAGTGAGGCTAAAGGTTTTCTAATAAGCCCATTCAGAACACCTGGTTTGTCCTCGAAAAGCTCATATAAAAGCCAGCCTTCTAAGGAGTCCTCTATTCATCTGTCCCTACAGAGACTCTTAGGCAATAGTTCTAGGCAGTAATTTGTTGATTCAAAGACTCTTCACACTAGTTCATACCAGGTACTTACACCAGCTCTTTCGGTCCTTCTTAGAAATGTGGAATTGGGGTGGCAGGGGCGGGGGGGCCTCTGGCTTCAAATTTTCCCTGAAACAATGGGAAAATAATTTGATGAGAGGTTCTTAGAGTACTTTGGCAGCAGAAGTACTGTTTCTTACCCAATTGCAAATATTATGCAATACGTATATTCAACATATATATATATTCAATCACAGCACTTTTTATTCATAAAAGAATGAACTTAGCCTTTATAGAGCCATTGTTCGAATCTCAAGGAAAAATACACACAAATTGCATGCCATTCTCTTTATCCTCTAACAGTGCTCTACAAAAGTTCATAAAAGTGTGGTGTCTTTCCTTGATACCAGAAAATTGAAACATTCTTGCTTAATCAAAAAAATTTCATTGTCTTTATTAAATAATATTTCTAAGACAATTACTGAGGACACCAACAAAAATAATCTAGATAGAACATCAGTTATATTAGAACAACATGCTAAAAAAATAATTTCACAAAGTTCAAATCCTAAATGGAGTACAAATGTTTAATAATAGGAAACTACTATTATTATTAAACTCTAGGCATCAAACATGAGCTTCAATAAACAAAATTCTGCCATCTTTTGGTTACTCATAATTAAATAAGCATCAAGGTAGGGAATTTCTCTCTCTACTCCTTAGTATAAAAAACTATAAAATCTTCCAGCCATGGAGTAACTGGAACCAAGATAGCCCTCCCTCCCCAATTACAAGATTAAACAAAAGAAATGCTTTCAGGAAATGGTTAACAGGTAGTGAAAAGCAGTAATCTCTGAGGGAACAGAAATCCACAGTGGAAGCCCTAGTATCACCCAGTTCTCTCTGCCTTGGGAAGATTTCCTGACCAAGGTGAAGAGAAAGGCAGTCCAAGGACAGCATGGCACTTTGGCTAAGCTGAGCAGGCAGAGATCAGAATTCAGGGCAGCTAGAATGGCTGGAATTTTCAGTGCAATACAACTGGAGAGGAAGGAGCTGTGCAGAAAGGGTCCCAGAAGTCTGTGTGGGAGTCTCCAGTGAGTCCATGGTTGAAGGTTGTGTTGTACATACACAGGATGAGACCACTCGAAGCTTACATTTAGATATAGCAGCTGCTAAAGAGTTGAGGACAGAACAGAGATACTAGAAGTTAAAAACTGATGGAGGATGTTAAAGTTCCAGTCCTGTCAGAGTGGAGAGATCTAATTAACACCCTATTAACATCCTTGGAATTCATCTGAGACGTGGAAGTCCAGTGTCTTAGTAAGAACTACTGTATACCTACTCCAACAAACCTAAAATCTAGCCCAGATAAGATCTGCAGGGAAGACAGAGCTTAGAGATTAAGTTTCACCAAATTAGAGCACCTTGAGACATAACTTAAGCTTTTTTTTTTTTTAGATTTTATTTATTTATTTGAGAGAGACAGAGATAATGACAGAGATAGTGAGAGAGAGCACGAGTGGGGAGGAAAGGGAGAAGCAGGCTCCAGGGAGCCTGATGAGGGGCTCGATCCCAGGACTCTGGGATCATGACCTGAGCCAAAGGCAGATGCTTAATGGACTAAGCCCCCCAGGTGCCCCGTAAGCTTTTTAAAAATGTAAGTTCAAGGTGATTGACCAAAACAGAACCGCCTACTAATACAAGAATTAATGTTCTTTACAGCAAGATAAGAGAATCTAGAGTCTTTATAATTATGGCAATAATTATATTAAATGTAGGGTGGAGTGGACACCCCAATTTAAAAGCAAACATTAGGGGCGCCTGGGTGGCTCAGTCGTTAAGCATCAAGTATTTTAAAAAATCATGATGGATATAGATTATCTAAATAACACAATTTATCAAATTAATCTAATTAACATTTACTGAACATTACACCCAACAATTGCTGAATATGCATGTGTTTTCCAGAGCACATGGAATGGTCATCCATGTAAACCATATGCTGAGCCATAGTATATAATTCAATGAATTTCAAAGGGCTTAAATCTTACAGCATGTTTTCTGACCACAATGGAAAAGGAAATAACACTGAGCCATTATGTGGGCAGGTAATGAAAAAACATTCAAGATAATTTTTTCTAGGAAAAACACATCATCAAGATTAGGATGAGTAATAAAAATAATTCATGAGGAAAAAAAAGAACTAAAAAGACTGGGGAGTCTTACAAAAATAAACACTCAGAAAGGAAAAGAGGTTCTATGAAAGAGATACAACACCTATTATTTTTATTCTTCTTAAAGTGGTCATAGTAGTGAGACAGCTGATAGCAAAATAGGTCACTGGATCCTTTAGCTTCTTCAGGAACATCTGTTTAAAATGTCTTTGAAGTTTTATCAGTGTTCCTCAACCTTTATGTGCATAGGGATTACCTGGGGCTCTTGTTAAATTTCAAATTCCTACTTAATACATCTGGACTGGGGCCTGAGATTCTGCATTTCTAAAAAGGTCCCAGGTGATGCTGACACTACTAATCTGTAGCATTTTGGGGGCACCTGGGTGGCTCAATCAGAAGAGTGTGTGACTCCTGATCTCAGGGTCATGAGTTCGAGTGCCACATTTGCTGTAGAGATAATACTTCAGTAAATTAAAAAAAAAAAATCACTTAAAATTGCACTCATGAAATACGTTACAGGCAACCACATTTTAATAAAATTGTAAAGAAAATGTAACCGTTAGAAAAAGAATCTATACATATCTCCTGGAGAGAAATTTGAGGGCTACTGGACTCCTTTAAGACCTGATGACCATCAGGGTAAATCTACAAAAGAAAGTTCCTTTGAAACTTATGGCACAACAAAGTGAGGTGTCCAGTATAATCTTGATCACTAAAAGACTTAGTCAATGTACTCTACTTATTTTTTCATGTCAGTTACCACAGAATTTGAAATGAAAAGCTAAAGTAATTCATCCATGTCAATTGTATTCTTTCCTTCAGTCATGGATTTATTCAACCGATGTTTGATAATACCAGGTGATTGCAGGTGTAGTATTCCTACAACATCACTTACCTAAAATGAGTTCATGTTTACCAGAAATCATCTTTTTTCAAGTAAGGTGATTTTTAGATTTTAATTTTTAATTTTTATTTGAAAATAAATTCAGACTTACAGAGAAGTCGTAATAGTAAAAAGAGCACCCATATGTCCTTTACCCAGATTCTCCTATTTGTTAACCTTTTGCCCCATTTTCTTGATCATTCTGAACCACTTGAGACTAAGAATATATCATCGCCCTCTACTCCAGATGCTTCAGTACATATTTCTTAAGAATAAAGATATTCTCTTACAAGACCACAGTACAATTATCAACTTCAGTAAATTTAACATTGATCCCCTACCATTTGTATTCCAAATTTGTCACTTGCCTCAATAATCTTTCATAACATTTTTTCCTTCAGAACTGAATCCAGTCTAAAGTCAAATATTGCATTTAGTTGTCATGCCCCTTTAGTGTCCTTTAATTTTGAAAATCCCCGTAGCCTTTCTTTGTCTCTTATGACATTGATATTTTTGAAGAATTCATTCTCTCTCATTTTGTTAGTAAAATTTTCTTTATTTAGAGTTGTCTGAGTTTTCCCTCATTATAAACTCAGATTATGAATTCTTGGCAGGAATTCTATATAAAATGTTATGTCCCTCTCAAGTTATCACATCCAGAAAGGATGATACTTTTAAAGTATTTTTTTTTCATAGTGCCTTAATAGACCATTTAATGTAAAAATTAAGCACTATTAATTTAATATGCTTTTTCTAGATTAAGTAAAATGTTTTCATTACATAAAAGAATTTGTATGTTTAAGACAAGAAAGTCATCCCACATTTTCTGTATATATTTTCTCAGCTTTTCTATTCATTACCTTTTCTGTGATCTTTTTTATGAGCAAGCACTCAATAGCTGTAGGCTATTCAGTAGTCTTACAATAGCTGTAGAACCATCTCTATATCATTAAATCACTTCAAATGAGTTTTCAAAAAGTGTCTTCTTTTTAAAACCTCTTTTACAATTAAGACCTCTAAAATGAAAATATTTGTATTTATCACATGTCACTTGCTTATTTAATTATATGAAATGAAGCACTGAGGTCTTGTTGTAACAGACAGTAACACTTATATCTCTGAATTGACACTAAAACTACCATTAAGTATGTGCATGATTTCATGAGACTTACGCTCTGGTTTACTACACGTCTGTCTTAAAGATGAATTCTAGAGAAACAGTGCATCCTGACAGCTGGTTTCAGTTCATTGTACTTTTTCCTAAAGAACATTTGTTTTCAATTTGTCTATAAATAATGGAAGCAAACACAGCTGAGGGGCCCCATGTGATTTTTATAGCAGGTTCCTTTTTGGAAATCTGATAAGCTTATAACCACATATGTTTAAAATCATTCTAGTATAAAATTCAGAAAGTTGGGGTGGGGAAAATCCTACTTGTCAGGGAATTCAATGTTTATTTTATCTATCTATTACTTAGCACTATTTGTCAAACATTCTGTGCTTTAGAAATTTTGGAAAAAAAAATTTAAGTACATGTTAAATTTCACAACACTCATTATAAAACTTTAGCATGTAAATGTTACTTATTCATTATAAACTGCAAGTACATGGGCAAATAGAAATAAATATGTGTTAATGACATTGAATGATAAACTTATACATGCACATGGACCTATTAGAAGTACAGCAAGACCTTTGCGCATGTGGGTATATTGGATATGGGTATGCCTGTATTGTTAAGAGGATCTGTCTTCTTCTAGAAGGGTACGAACCTAGCAATACAAAACAAACAAACGAGAAATTTGATAAGGTCTTGAAGATAAAAGATACTTTTCTGTTGGGCAATGATCTAGCCAACAGAATTTAACTTTACGTATACTATAAATTCTTTAGTAGATAATTGATTACATCTTCATTTATGTCAGATATAATGCTCTGCTTTGGAAATGGAACTAGCAAATTCCAATTAGAAGTAAGTTTGTTATATGTATTAGTCATTCTGTAAAGTAGTATAAGCAATTAAAATCACAATTTCTTTAAATTAAAATGAACTGAATTTCAAACACTGGATG